GCCGTGGCCCGATAGGGACCTCCAAGGTGGTGGTGGATGAGTTATAATGTGTGGGGGGGATCGGGCAGCTACTGCGAGCAGAGTCCATACTTGGAGTGGTTTAGACATCCTAAGAAGCATCCTTTTGTACATGACCCTAAGTATATCTAATATATAATACCTCGTATCCTTTTGGTCTCATGTCTAATATATAATGCCTCATATCCTTGGTCTTATGGTCAATAAATAGACTATTCTAATGCCACTGATAGCTGCTCAGCATGGAGGAGGGCGAGCAGGGGGACCAACAGCAGTAAGGTGCACATGAAGCAGGCGGTTCACCACGAATTATCCTCTTGGGCACGATGAAGGTCATGCCTCAAGATCAGACGGAGCGGAAGGAACGGGAGCACACACACACACCCGCGCGTGTGCCTCATCTCCACCATGAAGAAAAAGCCTGGCGGAATGGGTCACGGCTGAAACCGGATGCAGCGACTACATGCATAAATGGACGAGGCCCTCGCACACGAAGCAACCAACTCTTACGTGGGATGTTGGGTTCTTGGTCGAGTCGAGTCTCTCTCACTCGTTCCCACATTGTGTGACGACACAGCCGCAGTTCGTGGCGGCGGCTGAGAGGCTCAGCTATGGCGAGAATGCATGCAATTGACGAGGATCTAGAATGGATACCTCCATGCCTACGTATGTCAGAAGGGCGCTCATGCCCGGTGGCGACTCTAGGCTCGACTATGGTGAGGCGGGCGGAAAAGGACAGCATTGATATTTCTTACTGTTTAATGAGACACGGATCCTCCCATATAAACCCGACTGAATGGGCAGGGCGCGAGTATGGCAGCACGTGAATCTGGCGGGGTATCTCAGCATACCTAGGTAGGTGGCATGAACAGGCCAAGGACTGAACTGGGGCTGGGAACTGCTTCAAGGTGAGTGAGCGAGACATGGAACACAGCCTAGCTCAGCCTGGCCCGCCCGTGTGTTTATTGAGGGAACATGTGCAATGCAGAACCACAAGACATCAGCCACCCATGTTTCCATGTTGTGTGTCTGGTGCGCAATTTTGCTTTGGCGTGAGGGCAGAGTTTGCCCATTCACACTGCCGCAAAGATGTCACGGCCGCCATCTACCTCTTGTTAAGCGCCTGCCTCACAAGAAAATCTCCATGCGCAGTCCAATCACCACTGGCTCCCACCCCGTCACACACTCCATGACGAAGTGAAGTTAGCCCGGTTCCGAGATGGTGATAGGCGGCGGCAAACGTTGGCTCTCGCCTTCCTGGGCGCCAACCAAGCAGCGCAGCTGGATTATTGAGCCGTTATATATCGGCTCAACATACCTACATAAGGTCGCAGTACCAATCAAGAGGAAAGGCCAATATGACATGATCAACATTTCGCTGGAGCAGGGCCAGGGCTCTATAATTTGTGGGCACTTGGTCTCGGCTCGGGCAGAAGCCAGCCGGGGTACTAGTGAGGCCAACTGTTAGCGGCCCAGCCAGTCCTTTTGCAGTGACGCATACGGAGCAGCAGGCCTGCGTAGATGTAGGAGGCATGGCCCAGCAGCTGGAGTACCAACCTGCCTTGGTAGCCACTGGCGATTCTGCCCAGCCCAGCCGGGTATTATGGCCCTGACTGCAGGGACTCTTCTCCAGGTCATCCTTACTGGCCTCATGGGCGAGTTACACATGCCTCCCACGGAGTACCCAGAGCGGTAGCCCAGTCCCTGGCTTAGAGAGCAACACCAACCCCGCAGCAGTGCCAGGAGCAGGTAGGAGAGCTGCAACACGTACATGTGGTCGCAGGCAGGCCTTATTAATACGCTCGCAGCCACGAGGCAGCGTGCTTCAGGTGTGTGAGGCATGACAGCCAGGCACCTTTTAATTTGGGGGCAGAAGCAAAGAAGACGGAAACCATCCAGAAGGACACTGAATAAGGCCAATGGCGGTGCATGGGACTGCTGCCCCACCATGGCTCCAGCACCAACATGGCCACGCCGTACGTTCCATAGTAGGCCCTGTACCTAGAGGCGGGCGGTCGTAGTGGCCTACAGACGCCGTGTTGGCGACTATGGCCGCGAGGTTCCAGTATTAATTGCCTATCTCGCACGCACCCATAGCCAGACAGCCGGCAGACCCGCCCCCTAAAGCGCTGGCTGGGTGCCTTAGCTTCAACAGTTTGCTGTCCCTCCCCGTCACCGTCAAACGGGCCTCACTTGGCGCTCACCTACCCTGCGCTTTTCGCCCAATTTCCATTGTCTGCACTGGGCCGCGGACCCCCTCCCCCTCCACCCCCCCCAAAGCCTTCCATCGAAACCCCAAGCCAAAATATAAACACAGCCCATTCTCAACGCCTCACACACGCCGCCCTCCCGCACTTCTTCGCAACAAAACTCCTCCTCCACGACTCACTGCCATCCCACTTCCAGCCTTTCCTATCCCACGACCTCTACATCTCTTCCCAGTACTCGCATCTCTTTCGAAATGGCGACCGAGGTAAGCTTGATTTTTCTTTGCCCCTGCTGCTGCCCTTTGATCCGCCACACGGCCCATCCTGTGCTGGCTGCCCTCATTTCTTCGCAGCCCCTCAGCACCTCTGCGCCAGCAGAAACCGTCAGACGCACGCCCCCTACGCTGCGCCTGCAGTTTCTTGGTGTTTTGGCACGCGAGGATCTGCATCATTTCACTCTTTTCTTCTTCTTTCCCTCTCTTATTCGAGATATTTCGAGGCTAACCCGTTTGTTCCTTATCTAGCGTGAAAGGTTTGTTTGTGTTCCTGACATCCAGAAGCCCCTTGACCCCGCCCAACCTTGCTCGCATTTGAAACCGAACCAAGTCTGACCGTGTGCCCTCGATTTTATAGCAAGACCTTCCTCGCCCGCCTTTGCGAGCAGGCCGAGCGTTACGATGAAATGGTCACCTACATGAAGGAGGTTGCCAAGCTCGGCGGTGAGCTCACCGTCGACGAGCGCAACCTTCTCAGCGTCGCCTACAAGAACGTCGTCGGTACCCGCCGTGCCTCATGGCGTATCATCTCCTCCATCGAGCAGAAGGAGGAGACCAAGGGAACCGATAAGCACGTTTCCACCATCAAGGAGTACCGCATCAAGATTGAGGAGGAGCTCGAGAAGGTTTGCCAGGATGTCCTCGATGTCCTCGACGACAGCCTTATCCCCAACGCCGCCACCGGCGAGTCCAAGGTCTTCTACCACAAGATGTGAGTTTATTGTTTTCTTTGTTATTTTGTTCTATTTTTTCTCTCGGCAATGGAATTCCTCGTGAAGAGCCTTGGTCGTGTGTTTTGTGATCGATGAATCATTTGGTTTGGCTGACGCTTTCCCTTTTTTCCCCGTTCATCAGGAAGGGTGACTACCACCGTTACCTTGCCGAGTTTGCCTCCGGTGAGAAGCGCAAGGTCGCTGCCACTGCTGCCCACGAGGCCTACAAGGTAAAAACCATACCCTTGAGCCCGTACACCATCCATTTCCACTTGAGCCAATTTTCTTGGTATCGACTGACACCTCTACGCAGAGTGCCACCGATGTTGCCCAGACTGAGCTTACCCCCACCCACCCCATCCGTCTCGGCCTTGCCCTGAACTTCTCTGTCTTTTACTACGAGATCCTGAACTCCCCCGACCGTGCTTGCCACCTGGCCAAGCAGGCATTTGATGATGCTATTGCCGAGCTCGACTCGCTCTCTGAGGAATCTTACCGCGACAGCACTCTTATCATGCAACTGTTGCGCGACAACCTCACCCTCTGGACCTCGTCCGATAGCGGCGATGCTGAGGCTCAGGCCGCTGACGGCGCCAAGAAGGAGGAGGCCGAGGCACCCAAGCCTGCCGAGGAGGAGACCAAGCCGGCCGAGGAGCAGCCCGCTCCCGCTGCTGCCTCTTAAAACAATTGTCCCTACTTCTTTCCTGATACCAAAGGCGTCTCGGGCGGGTTGGAAACCGAGATGCCTCCCTTTTCCGACACTCTGTTCGCCTTTTGGACAAGGGGTGGCTGGGTCACGTCTTCCAACGCTGGCTGGCTGGCTAGCTAATATACTAGTCCCTCTACGCGGTGCGTTGCTGTAATGGCAGGAGGGGATGCGAAATGATTTGGATCGGGGGGAGTTGGGTGGGAAAACTGGTTTGCGGCGTGGATCTTGTTCTTCACGTTTGTTGCTTTAACTTGGTACAGGAGACGGACCGGTTTCACTGCCAACGGTGGTGGAATGGATGGTTTCTCTGGACCGACAGATAATCGCAAGAATGCCTCCATCTCGCGCGCCTCTTTTATCTCTCGCCTGTCTGCCCTCACGATCTTCTATTTTCTTTTCGGTTCTCGCTGAATTGCCATGGAGATGTTTTCTACTATTGCTGTCGTCTTTTCTTTTTTACCCTTTTCCTTACCCTGTCATACCGTTTCGTCTCATCACGTCAATGAAGAAGCAGTCAAGCACGTCTCAGCCCACATGGCAGAAGATGGCCTTGCTCTTGTGTCTGCAAGAGCTCGTCCCCAACGCTTTCAAGACACAACATGTGGTTCGCACACAATTGGCAGAAACCTCCTAGTTAGTTTTCTGTGGCTTGTTTCCTGTGGATCGTTACTTGTTCTTTCTTGTATCGCCGCGGACAACACGGACAGAGTTCCTTGGAACGGCTGAGATGGCTTTAAATTAATAAAAAAATCAATACTGAATGATATATTTATTCACAAGACGTGCTGTGCTCGATCCAGAATATCCATCCACCCCATCGGGGATTAACTTTGTATTATGTACTTTAACGGCGTAGGTAATAAAGGGCAGCACATACACTCCAGCCAAAGGCATCAACAACGTACTTGCAATGTAAATATTAAAAAAAAAATTTAAAAAGAGGGAATCATGTTTATTTCGCCCCTGCCCACCATACCGGCCCTATGTGTGTGTATATATTCCTCATTGCTCAGATCATTAGTTACGTTAAATAAGACATTAAAGACGGGGTGTTCCTCCACCCCCATCAGAGATCCGTCTACTCATCCCGGACGGGGCCCTCGTCGAGCAGCCTCGCCGCCCGCTCCAGGCGGTCCTGCTTGGCGCCCAGCGCGCCCTGTAGCCCGTCGCGGCTGCCCTCCTCGCCCAGGGCGTCTGCTTCTGGGCGCGCCCTCCTGCCCAGGTCCCTGGGGGCTGCGTGGCGGGACGAGGACGAGGACTGCTGCTGCTCCGTGCGGTACATGTCCGTCCTGGCGACGTCCGGGGGCGAGGGGTCGAGGGGCCGGCCGGTGATGCGGTGGCTGAGGCGGCGCCAGAAGCGGCGGCCGCGGGAGGTGGGGGAGGAGAGGATGCTGGAGGAGGAGGCGGACGAGGTCGCGGAGGAGGGGGGCGGGGAGTGGCGGGAGGGGTCGTCGTTGGTGTCGACGGCCGTGTCGAGGGTGAGGGCGGCGACCTCGTTGCGCCAGATGTCGATGCGGTTCTGCTTGACGCGGGACATGGGGGGTGGGAGGTCGGCGTCGGGAGTTTGGTCCATTGTGGAGGTTTAGTAGATGATAGATATGCTGTGCGTGGGTATTGAAAGAAAAGGACTGGAGGATGAGGTGATGTCGGGACCAAAAACGATTGTGTTGTTCCCCCCTTCTTTTTCTGTCGCTTGTGAAGCTGGGAGGGATGGAATTGAGGTGTCCCTTTCACCTGGGCTGGCGGTTCCCAAGGATGGTTGTTTAAGAAGTGCTTGCAGGGATTTTTAAGGTTGAGGCGGTGTCGCTTCCTGGCAAGCTTGCCAGACCAGTCCGATGTGCCAAACAATGAGTGGGCTCCGGATCAGAGTTTCGGTCGCGAGATTGGTATCCTCTGGCACGAGTATTAGATACGACGGAGAGCGCAACAGCGTGAGGCGGCGTTCGCAAGGCGATTGGATGTTGTGTAAATCGTATATGTGGCAAAGGGGCGCAATTCAGAGACACGGGTGCATGAATGCCGACGCAAGCCACTTTGCAGAGGGGTTTGACCAAGAGGGAGAGGATGTCGAATCCTCCTGGATTGGAAAAGACGAGGTGAGGTATAAGAGGGGGGAAATTAAAGCGAGCTGGTTCCTGTGCCTGGTTCTCACGGATTGGCCGAACCTCATATACTGGTGATTGCCAGGTGGGGATGCGTGTTAGTGCGTGGCGATCTCGCCCTGGACAGAGCTGGACCGGCCGAAGTAGCGTAGGTTGGCGTGCACTGGGCGGCAGTCTGGACGCGCGGATGTTCACTCGAGGCGATGGGAGAGCGATCGAGGGATTGATTGAGGGCGTGAGAGGGAAGCTTGACGGTTATGACGGTTGGGGGTGATGGGCGAGGAGTTGGTCTCGTCAGTGGCAGACGGTGGTGGTGGTGGTGGATTCGCCGTTCCCTAGTTGATCGTTTGATACCGGGCGGCCAGTGAAACCACCCACGATAAAGACTGCGGAGGGGTCACGAGGGCAGCTGGGGCAGGCCTATGCCGGGCACACACTGGACATTGGATGGGCTCAGGCCAGCACGAGTAAAAGATGGGCACGGCTGTGTCAGATTCAAGCGCAGTGAGGCGAGTTGCATTGGGTTGTTGGGGGAGGAGGGCAGGAGGAAATGGTTTATCAGGCCGGGTTGGAGAGTCGTGAGACAAGCGGCCTGTGGGCGGCGCCCAGACCATTACTACCTACTACGTACAAGCCTCATCGAGGGTCAATGGGACGGCGAGGTCAAAGCCAAGCCAAGCGCAACTCGCTACCTTGGCTAGCGGGACAGGTGGCACGCGATGAGGAAGGGTGGGATGGGAGGCAGAACCTTGGGCGTTAGGACACACCAACGCTGGCGCCGCGTGTCCGGGTCTGATGATGGGAGTTACCGTAGCTTTTTTTTTTCGCCTTGGGACTGTCACTTGTCGTTGCCGTGGTCCGGCTTCGCTGCAAGGATGGGCAGAGGCGGTACAGGGTGCTGGACGAGACAGCCAGTCATCCAGCGCGCTACGGTGACATGGGCGGGTTCATGCACAGATGGATGGATGTACAACAGGATGCCTGGTGAGTGCCTCCATAATCTGTGCAGCCATCCAGTCAGACTGATTGACCAGCCTCAGCCCACAGATTCCTGCTCCTGCTGGTGCTCCTCCTCCTCCCCTCCTCGTCGACGGCCGGAGACCGCCTCACTCCAGCGGGTGAGTGGATCTGTGGGGGTGGGGAGAACTCGGCGAGCAGGAGGTCCAAGTCCTAGTCCTGGCCCTGGCCCTGGTCCGAAACCGCCGCCAATGGCCATGACTCGGCAGTCGAGCCTGTGTGTGTGCATTGGAACATGCAAGACGGGAGGGACCAGACACTGGCATTCTCCCAGGCAGGCATTGCGTGTTATCGTGCCCGCCTCCAGGTCGCCTCGTGATTGGGGACCCAGGGCCTATCGAGGGCCTAGACCCGGGCCATGGCGCTGGCGGCCTGACACAAGCTGCACATCCAGATGGAACCTTGTTGCCCGGGGCGCGTGTCACAGCGCGAAACTTGCCGTGGGCTGGTCAGCACAGGCCCATCTTAGAAGGATCTGGTGTCAACTTTATTATTCCGTCACCGCGGTCCAACAATGCTCCTCCCAGTGGAGTGCGCTATGGCCTAGACGCCTGCAGGGTAGGCGCCTATTCCGGGCATGATGTGATGGTCGGGACGCTGATCACCTCCTTCGAGTGTCACTCAAGTCGTGTATCTATCGTCGTATGATCGCTTATTCTCATTGGTTTGTCTGTAAACCATAAAGTTCGTGCACAAAGATAGCTAGCTAGGGAATATTTTAGGCCATGTTCCTTTTTAACATGGTTTCAAGGCCCTGGTGTTTTGCCTGTCCCCCCCGTATACCGCTAGACGTCCTCCTTCCAGAGTCTGATATGTGATATCCAACATGTACTCTCGGGCCATCTTATGACCCCAATCTTATCCAAAACGCCATGCTTCCCATCTCTCCCTGCCCCGTTGTCGTTACGAGTAGAATCCATGGCCCCGCCAGGGGGTTGGTATTCCTGCGCTCGACAACACCTGTTCAACCTACCGCCCCGTGCCAGAAGTTGGCTGCAATGCTTCCCATCCGCCTAAGAGATCTTGACTGGGATCGTCAAGTAAATCCATGGGCCCTTGCTGTTGATGTTGCCCGGGGTTTCTCTGGGACGACCCGGCCATCGATCCACTTGCCCGGCCCGGAGGCAATACTGGGCCCTGTTTCCTGCCAGAAGCAGCTACCGGCATCGTTCGTGACTTTTGTAAGGGTGCAGCGAACCCGTTGTTCGCACCGGTGGCCCCGTTCGATGAGGGGTCTGAAAGCACGGGGCTGGTGAGATAGGCCGGTTTCTTAGCCACGGGCGGCGGCTGCTTCCCCCCGGTAGGTTGTGGTGATGTGTAGTTCCCTTGCGTCGATGAGAATGAAGACGCGGCCGAGGTAGGCCGCAGAGGCGCCTGTAGACCTGCCGGCATTCCTGGTCCTGGTCTGGGACCTCCTGCTGCGTTGAGGACGGATGGTGAGTTCGGAGCCAAGTCTCCTGTCTGCCTCCGAGGCGGTAGTTGTGGTGGAACACCTCCGGCCCGCACGTCTTGATCGCTGGCCAAGTTCATTCGTCCCACTTTTGCTGCCAGGCTGCCATTCTCGTAACTGCCGACAGGCGGGACCTTCCTTGGTTGGATGCTGGATGCGGAGCTATTGATCATGCTGGGTATCATCACCTTCTCAAATGGTGAACTTGAAAGGCTCGTCAGCGATGCCCTGGATGAGGACCGGGAGATGGATATCCAATCATGCTCTTCGTTGTGACCGAATGGGTTTGAAGGACGGTGAGGATTGAGAACCATTGGCTGGCCGTCTCTGCCCTCGGGAGCGGCTACTTGAGCGCGGGCTGGCTGTTTATTGTCCAGCCACCACTTCTGCCGATCGGAGCTCGCTGGCGGCAGCCCTGGCTCGATGGCATCGTATCCAATGAGATCCTCGTCCTCCGTCTCGTCGCCCTCTGCAATGTGAACCGCATCTCCCACGTCCGCAATTCGTTTGCTATAAAGCTGCTGGCTGATAGCCTCTCGCTTTGGCTCATCGACGATGCTCACTCTGCAGTCGAATGTGGCGTACACTGGCCGATGGTCCGAGAACTTCAAGGGGGCGCAGTTGTATAGATTCTGGCGCAGGTTGGGCCCCTTGCGCAAGATGCGGTCTGTCCAAGCAGGAATGCGAGCCTTTTCCCTATAGAAATTGGGTTAGAATTCTCATGGGCCGAGTGATTTTCATCAAAACCTAGGCTCTGGGTATCTTACGAAGTGTCATATGTATCCGTCCCGATGTCGAATTTGTATGTCGGCAAGAAGGTGATCCTTGCCTCAGAGTAGAATGGGAAGGCCAGCCCTGCAACCATCTGCAAGTTCAGCTGGTCGTTTTCGTAAAGCGTCTCGAGATCACCTCTTTGGACAAGGGAACGAGCAGTTTCTGAGGTGAGTCCAATGCGGTAGTTGAAGTCTCCCAACCATATAACAGCATCTGTGACGGCCGTTAGCACCAGAACGAAAATCGTACCTCGCATGCACTCTCCTTAGCAATACTTACCATGGTCATCAATACTTCGGTTACGCTGAAATCGCAGTCCATGATGGATCGTCGCGTAGTCTCGGTTTCTCTCGTCGTAGTTGGCGAAACCCGCCGCAAGATGTGCCGTGACAAAGCAAATCTGGGTATTGGCATAGTCAAATCGAACAGCGACTGCTCCTTTGTTTCCAGCCATGCCGGACATTCCCGTCTTCTTGACACTGCCTTCAACATTCTTTATTATTCCCAACGAAGACGTTTTTACGAAGACGCAAAGTGCGGCCCCAACTAGCTGTTCGCTTCGTAGGAGCACATACTTTTCTCCTCCCAACGAGGCCTGGCGGCGATTAAGTGCGTTTTTGACAGCCTGTTCCCAGAGCTGCTTCCGCGTCGGGTCGCTATTCATGATCTGTTGAGGGCTAAGCTCGACAATCTCCTGAAACCCTACAGCGTACACGTTTGGCTGGGATGATCCCATGGCGGGTGGGAAAAGCCACGGGGAGAGGTCTTCGTCTGCACCTTCTGTACGCCCGTTTAGATTGAAGGTGCCAACCCACATGCTTATAGACCGAAAAGATGTGTACTCTTCACTTCTCTTGCCCAGCTCCGCAGAGACATAGTCACTGACGGGGTCGAATAAATACACTGGGGCCTGCCCGACAAGACGCCCCAGCAGCATGTCGATAGTGATCTGACGGGACGGGTCGAGGAAGTTGTTATGATAAATGCGCTGCACAGACTTTCGTACGTCGGCAACGGCTCCAGCGAGCGACATTTTCCCATGTCGTGTGAATGACGATTTCAGTGCACCAGTCCCGGCGTAAATCTTTGAAAGTGAGTCTCCGTTGTCAGCCCAAAGGCTCGAGTGTCGCATCCAGAAATCGGCCGCCGCATATTCGCCCCTGTGTCCCAAGAATGCTTCAACAGCCATCTGCGAGATGATGCTCTGTATCAGATTTGTACGATCTAAAC